GAAGCACGAACTGGAATGGGGCCAGATATTCCACTCCCTCATTTGGACAGATCTGATCACACCCAAACTCCCCAGCAGAGCATCGTCAACCGATGTCAGCTGCAGATTTGTTACACACCCAATTGTAGCGCAGCCCCTCTGTGGAAGAAACTCACTGTTGTGAACAAGAATAAGAATCTGGTAAAATACCAAGGGCAAGAGCCCACAACTTCCTGCTTATCCATCAACCACCCAGGAGAGGGATAAAAATGAGAGAATAAAGAATAGAGAGATGTACGATGTGAGAAAAGGGCTTTTTCAGAAAACTAGAGATTGAGTGCCAAGTAATGTGAGAATCACAAGTGAGAAAGGGTGGGAAACAATACCCGGTGAAACAGGCTTCCTATGCACGTCTGAGTGTCGTGTCTTTTTGTTTTATCTCGATTCTTGTTTTGAGTCGTCTCGAGTGTTACTCGATGTGTTTAGGTTGTTTACCTTTTGTTTTTCGTTGTTGAGTTGTAGTGCGCTGTGTTCAGTCGTAGGCTCAATACCCAGTTGAGAACTTGTTCTCACTCTTAATTTCAAAAAATCGTTTTGTGCTCAGGGTGCTGTGCCATTCTCTACATTTGTGCAAAACAGAATTTGTTCTTTCATAAAACCGCAGGGTTCAACCCAGGTCATGTAAGAACAATAAAACTAGGACCTATCTGAGGCTATATTGGTTTCGGACTGCAAAACAAAAGAAAAGAGGGAAAACCGAAGCATCTGAGTGTGTTTCACCTTCAGCAAATTCCGTGATTGTACTCTGGATGTACCTCTTTAGGCCTTGTCAGTGCTCTGAAGAATGAGTGTGCCTCTACTCCAAGTTTAAGCCTGCTTCAAGTCAGAATGGCAATTAAAGCAACAGCAGATGTTATCTCTTGCCAATATAAACAGGGTGTACCCTTTTCAAGCAGAGTGTGTTACAAACCCCTCCGAGAGGTAAATTGGAGGTCGCATTTGGATTTGGTCTCGTTAAGGCTTGTATTTCCTTATTCGGCATTTTGTTTCAAACGCGCTTTTGAAGTTGCACATTCGTCGCATCGTTATGCACATCTATCTAGCATTGTTATGCACCGTTACACCTGCATTGTTATGCACATTATATTTGCATTGTCATGCACCTCTTCACTTGCATAGTCACGCACATTCCACTTGCATTGTCAATTTTAAAATCCATAGCAAAGTATGAAGGTCGCTATTAACCCAAAAAATCAATCTTTACCTGTATTTCTTCCTCTGACTCCCAGAGGCTTTGCCTGCTACTTTCTTCTTTTTGCTGCTTGATGCCATTGGTGTGAGATTTTGCACTTCTATTATTGTCACTGATTCCCCATCCTCGCCTGGAATTTCTTCAGCCATGGTTTCTCTTTCTACCTCTTCAATGATTTGACTAGCTTTAGGGCTAAGAACATTTGTTAGTCCCAAGACTCCATTATGCAGCTCCTTAATTGGGGCTTCTCGATCGACTCCTCGAGTAAGGCTTTTCCTCAGAGGTGGAATT